ATATCTAACCTCTCAAGGTTGGTGGTCATGTCTTTAGAACCCTTCAGATTGGCTCGGGTCTCTCTAGGCCCTTCCTGACCCCAGCATAGTTTAGCACCCTTTAGGCCCCCCAGAAGCTTTCTCGTGTAGAACCTCCACATTCATGGAACCTTCTAAACATCTTCAGGCCCCTCCACATAAGTTTGGAATGCCTTGGTGCCTCATAAATCCCTCTAGAGCCCCAAGGCACATCTGTCTCGCACTGTGGCCGCCTTGCACGAATGCCTAAGCCCTTCTCGCATGCTCTAGCATATTCTAGAGCCTTTGAAGCCTTGCATCGCCATCTAAGGTCAGTGTTGCCCTTTTGGGACCCGATAAAGCCTTAGGCTCACCTATAGTATGATCCATCCCACACTGCACGCTCGGGCAGATCAGCCCGTGCCTGCTGGCATTGTAGCTTGCCTAGGCCCTATGCCTGCTGGCCCAAGCCCCATGTTTCTTGGACAATGGCCTACCTTCCATGGACAGAACATCTTTAAACCTGATTTGGCCCATGAATCACCCTTTTAGGCCCTAAAAAAGCATTTGGCATACATAAGGGATCGTGGGGTGTGACATTCTCCTCCACTAAACCAGTTTTCATCCTTGACACAGCAATGTCAATCTTGGATCCATTGCCTTCCATATTGGCAATTTGAGCTAGTGCATGACACAACACATAAACCAATCCTTGGTTGTAGCTTGCACTTCACAGGTGTGCTTGGCATGAGAGCCCCATCCCTCACTTGAAGCTTTCAACCACGATGATGCCTCTTATTGCCCCGTCTCCTCCACTTGGCAGCTCGCTTGTTGCACCCAGGGGCCTATCCCTATAGCCCTTGCCTACCCTTGGCAAATTCCTACGCATGTTGGTCACTCAACCTAGTGACCTTAACATTCTCCCTTAGAATGCTATGCTGTTGGCTTACGGATGACTTTCTTTTTTTTTTTTCCAACCCAATGACCGAGAGGGTAGGAGAGTTAAGGAGATTCTAGGAGTGTATGAGGAGGCGTCTGGTCAAGCAATGAATTTTGAGAAATCACGAATCATGTTTAGTTTAAATGTGTTTACTCCTATTAAAAACTCTATATCCAACCTCTTAAGTATTCGCTATTCGCTATTCATTAAGTGAAGGTAAGTATCTAGGACTTCCTTCTTTAATCAATATGGGGAAAAAAGGGATTTTCAACTATTTAAAAGGTAGGTTATAGGGGAGGGTAAATAACTGGAATTGCAACTAGTTATCTAAGAAGGAAAGGAAATTTTACTGAAATCTATGGCGCAAGCTCTTCCGTCCGATTGTATGGGTGTCTTTTTGTTACCCTTAACTTTGTGTGATGAGTTCCAAAAAATCATGAATAAATGCTGGTGGGGGACTGAGAGAGGAGGGGGGGGCTAGTATCCATTAGTTTTCATGGGATAGAATGTGCCATAGTAAAGGGGAAGGTGGAATGGGATTTTAGGGATCTACATTGTTTCAATATTACTTTATTAGGAAATTTGGGGTGAAGACTTGTCAATTGCCCCAACACACTTCTTTTTTTGCGTTCTTAAAGCTAAAGATTTTTCTTTTGGGAATTTTTTGCATGCTTCTTAGGAAGCAATCCTAACTTTACATGGAAAAGTGTTATCTCAGCAAGAGATATATTGAAAAATGGGTATAGGTGAAAAGTGGGTAATGGGGAAAAAATTTTGGTAAATTCGGTTCCTTGGATACCTAAGGAGGATTCTTTCATGGTGCAAGATGGTATGGGGTTTATTGATAATACTATACGGGTGAGTGAGCTTATAGATCATGAGAGAAGGGAGTGGGATGCTAATAAAGTTATTGAATTTTTTTTATATACATGCATTAGAGCTATTATGAATATTCCGTTAGGGTGGAGGCATGTGGAGGATCATATGGTGTGGCATTATGATAGAAAGGGAGTGTATAAAGCTAAATTGGGGTACTTCTTTGCTCTTAGAAAGTTAGGGAGAGGAGGAGAGGGCTTTCGAGAGGAGTGTTTCCTTTCTAAGGTGAGATGAGAGAGGAGTTAGATTAAATAAAAAATATTGCTTTTGTGACATGGAGGAGGACCTTGATCATATATTATTACGGTGTCATAAGGTGAAGGAAGTTTGTGCACATGTGTTAGGTGGTGGTGCCTCCTAACATTACAAATTTAAAGATTTTTTTGCAGGTATTGGAACCAAGGGACCATGTCAAGATGCTACAGTTGGTTGTAATATCATGGAAAATTTGGGAGGCTCAAAACAAGTTTATATGGAGAAACATGGAGCTGCATGTACCTTCCCTAATCCAGGCGATTTGAAACATGGTGCAAGATTGGCTTTAGGAAAGCGTGCTGAAAGACAAAGACAACTGGTTACAGGTCGTGCAAATTCGGGTGTCAGTCAAAGAGTGCAAAGCCTAAAATTTTCCATTTCTGCGTAAACGAGTCTTCATGGCTAGCAATGTTTTTGCAATGGTGCAACATTCGCTCCACTTCGTATGGTTGGACACGGGGCGGTCACGAAAGATGCAAAGGGACATTTTTCGCAGGCCATTGCAAGTACCTTTCTGAGCTTCAAAGATGCTACTACAGTGGAAGCTATGGTGCTTCGTGCATGCCTTACTTGGCTCCAAGACAAGTTTCTCTCTCAAGGCACTATTTATACTGATTCTCAAACTGTCATTTATGCTTTACAATCTAGGGAGACTGGTTTTTCTGAGTTTGGATCAATTATTATGAACTATAGGGATTTATTAACTTCTAGATCTGATATGGTTATTAGATGGATTGGGAGACAAGCCAATATAAGGTTTCATACTCTAACTCGAGCCTCCTATAAATATGCTTGCTTCCAAGAGTGGGGAAGTATCCTACATGAGTTATTTCTTCTTTATTTAGAGTAGCGAAATTGTAACTCTTTAAAAAAAAAAAAAAAAAATTGAAATTGAATTGATTGAAAAAAATTTTATGAACTGAATTCTTCTATTCTTACCGTTTTCAATATACCATATTTAATATTTTATATAATTTTTTTATTTTATCAAATTAATCTTTTATGTTTTTTTCATATATATAACTCATTTAATATATAATAAATTTTAATATAACATATTTAATATATTATATAATTCTTATTTTATTCAATAGAATTTCGATTTAAATAAAAAAAATTAATATAATCAATCAAAATTAAATAAAAAAAAAAAACACACAACATTGAAATTGAATTTTGATTGAATAAAGAATTTTATGAACTCGATTCTTCTGTTTCTTATAATACTCGTTTCCAATATACCATATTTTAATATTCTTATGATAATTTTTTTTATTTTTATGCAAATTAATCTTTATGCTTTTTTTCATATATATTAACTCATTTAATATAGTAATAATTTTTAATACTAACACTATTTAAATAATATTATCATAATTCTTGAATTTTATTCAACTAGCACTATATTTAATATATTATATAATTCTTATTTTATTCAATAGAATTTCGATTTAAATAAAAAAAATTAATATAATCAATCAAAATTAAATTATCTTTGTTTATTTAAATTAATAAATGAAAATCCTTAACAATATTTTTATCAATCTATAAACTTAGCAAGAACATTTTTTACAATCCCAATGTCTCTCCATAATCCCACTTTTATATATACTAATTTTTCTATGACATGTGTAGCACGTTGACTATACTCGTTATTCGTACTCATTCATTTTTTTATGTTAATTGCTCATTTTACTTGTTATTTATACTTATTTTATTTTTAATATTACGTATTGATTATAATTTTTCTTATATTATATAGATTTTTATAATGTTAAAATAAAATTATATGAGATTAATGTGTATATAAAGGTTAATTAATAAAATAGCGGTGTGTGTACACACACGCTTCGGTTCAATTTATAGTCATTTATCTAAAATTTACTATAACTATATATTTGCATTATACGATATCACCTAATAAATATATTTCAATATTTATAGATATATAGATATAAAAATAAAATATCATTATATATATTTTTAAAAATAAAATTTTTAATTGTTGCATCCCACGTATATATGTTCATTTTATTTAAAAAAATGAAAATTTTTATATAAAAATAAAATATTATATATATTTTAAAAATTAAAATTTTTAATTGTTGGTCATCCCACGTATATATGTTCATTTTATTTAAAAATAAATTTTTTAAAGTAAAATTTTAAAAGATTTAATTATGCATATTCTATTTAAAATTTTATTTTTAAAAATATATATTCAATCAAATTTTAAAAATATAACAAAAAAAAAAGAATATTATAACATACGTTCTCTTTTTTATCTCTCTTCTAAATAAAATATTTTAAATTACAATAAAAACAGAATTAAATATTTAAAAAATAAATTTAGAAAAAGATAAAACTAAAAATTTTAAAATGTTTAATTATCTATATGCATTTATTTAAAAAATTATACTCAATCAATCAATAAAATATAATTTTCTAATCAGTTATAACTAAAGTTATTTTCAAATATTCAAATATATTCCAGATTTATTAGCTATGACTTGGCTTTTTTAATACTTGATTTTTAACCTGACTGTATTTATTTACGTGAAAATATAAAATTAATTAGATTATAGCCACTTACAAAGCATGTCCATAACTATTACTAAAATTTCGATTCTGCCAATCACCTACAACTCACATTTAAATCTCATGAATTAATTGTTTAACCTATACTATAAAGGAATACACAATACCCAGTTATTAATTTTATACTCAAAAGGCAAGGCAAGGCAAAACCAGTGACCGAGTCAAGTTTATCATCATCCAGTTCATTATACTCCTAACTCTCTGCAAAGCCCAAAGGGGCACTAGTGCAGTGCACGCCCAAAGGGGCACTAGTGCAGTGCACACCCAAAAGGTGGAGAAATACCTCCTAATTCTACCAGAAAGGCACTTCCGTATCCATCCAAGGTCCCAAGCAAAAGAAATACATGTTCCTCTTTCCAATTGTTTAACAGTTCAAAATATATAACAAATTTTTCTTTTCCGACTGAAATAGCCGGATAAAAATAATTAGCTTAGTCAAAATATTATGCAGCATACACAAAAGTAGATCACATTAACCTGTATTGAGGGAAAACAAGGAGAGCCCTACAGAGTCTAAAACTAGCAATAGGTAACCTCTACAAAGCCTACTTCCTAACCAAAAATAATGTAAGCTATCTTCCATCATGTGTCCGCCTTGATCCTGATAGGTATCTTCCTGAATCAGCTGAGTTTCTACTCTTTGAATCTGTATGCTTCTCTTCCTTTTGATCAAGAGTTGTCTGCTGCTTCCTCAAAATATCCTGTGTGTATCGGCGCCACAAAATTTCTCGCTCTTTTCTAGGCATCTTGTTATATCTGGGATCAGGCTTCAGAAGACGTTTGACTGTTGACCACGAGTCAAGTACTGTTTTTCCATTCTCTGACTTTTGGGCAGCAGTTTCAGCATTTATGACTTCAGCTAATAGAGCTTTGAAGTCTTGTGTGCATCGCTAAGGAAAGAAAAAACAAAAATTTAAAATGATATTCACAGAAAAAGTTAATAAAAAAGGCATGTACCCGTGCCATTAACCTAATCCTTTATACCAAATCATTATCCCAGTAAAAAGGACTCTGAAGAATATATCCACAGGTAGGCTTTACCAAGAATTACCTCATGTAACATCTTTACATGTTCCCGGAAGAGCTTCTCAGTATCAGATGGATCTAAGTCGGGGTTGGTTGCACGGCCTTGAGAATCCTTCTCCAATTTGGGCTTTGACTCTGTCCAAGATGCCTAGTGCAAGTAGCAAGTGAACAAATTAATTAGTGTGGAGGAAGCAGACCAAAGCCAAGCTCAAACTCCTAGTAAAAATAAAACCATAAATAGTACATGGTACGGATCCACATTAATCTTGTGGCACTTTCAACTTTGAGGAAGACCTACTATGGCCCCTAATATTAAAAATTTTAATAAGATTACACACATTTCCACATTAACAATAGTTTTTAGGATTTCTATCTTTTATATGCAAAAAAATATGGTTAGCACAAATTGTGAACCATAATTTTCACACTTTTCAATCATCTAATAAGTGTTTATTTAATTTAATTTTGCAAGTTAAGTGTTCAATAAAATAATTTTGCAAATTGAAATGTTTAATAGGTGTAATTTTATAAGTTGAAGTGTTAAATGAGTCAAAATAAATTGAGAATGTCATAAAGTTAAAATAACAAAGTTCAAGAATGAATCTATATGATCTCCATTCTTCATTATGAAATTCATATTTTGAAAACTTGTCATTTAGGGAATTTAAGATTTTATTACAATCAAGATAGCAATACTTCAAAATATGTTTGCTTCGCATCTTGTTTAGTAGACTCATAATTCTAGTAGGAGGATTAGAATCATAGTAAGCCAAGGATTGTTAAATCTCTAAAAATATGCAACACTAGCTATTTTCTAAGGTACATTTGTAATGGAATTTTTGAGATGTTGATTTGGAAGGCTAAGTCCTAGTCTCCACTCTTTATCCCTCACTACTACTTTATTAGTCTTTTTTTAGTTTGTAAGATAATTAGACTCATAAAGGCTATTTTTTATTTATTACTCCCTCTGTCTCACTTTGTTTGCTTGTTATTCCTTTTTTAGATATCCCAAAATGCTTGCAAGGTTTTTAAATTTAGATGTGTAAATAATTATTTTTCTCATAATAGCCTATATGATTTTTCATTAAATGAAGGACTTTTATTAATATCTTAATGAGTTAAGGGTAAAAAAAGGCCAAAATAACTTTTGTTGACTAAATTCTTAATATGCGTATTTTGTCAAACCATGCGAACAAAATGGGACGGAGGGAGTATAATAAATATTGCAAAATAATACCATAACAGTGGTAAGTTACAATGGTCATTGGTGACAACCAAGGATGATCCATGGTGGTCTATGAATGAATGGACATGTGTACATGTATTTCTTTTGAATTTGCCTTAATTTTTTATTTTTTAATGAATTTTTAGAAAATGTTTTCCTAGTTTGAAAGAGGAATTCATTTTACTTGAAAATGGTTTTGTTTTCACATTGACCAGGAAAACATTTCCCAAGTATTGCAGACACTAAAAAAGTGCAGATATTTTCTAGGAAAATATTTTCCTTAAAACAAATTCCTAATTCAATTTACCTACACTAAATTCCCCTCCTTCGGTAAATCCAAACCCTAATATCACATATTGTTTGAGAATTGCCCACCATAAAAACATATGTAGACCGGTTCATCAACCTACTTGCCCTACATGTATGCACCATGCTCCTTGAATCATTAGTCATTGAAATATACCTGAGGGTCCTTAATTGTTTCCACTAGCAAAGCTTGAAAAGATGAAACCGCCTCCTTCCTTCGAACTTTCAATCGCACCCTTTCCATTTCTTGTTCTTCTCTTTCCTTCCGTTTGCGCAACTCCCGCTCCCTTTCTTTTAACTTCTCCTGCAAACATAGAAGTAGAAGAAAGCTGAAAGCTTATGCATAAATGAGTACTTAACGGCCCCAAATCTGCACTAAAATATTAGCTTAAATGAGTACATAAATGAGTACTTAACTCTTTATTATTAGCACAATTTTTGGTTATGCTTGAACTGCAAATTTTAAGATCAGCTTCCAATTATATTCATTTACGTAAGGAAAAAGTTTGATTGTATTCTATATTTTTAATTTCAAAGATTTAATATGATATTAAATTAGGTGATATTTATTTAGTAATAAAACTCAGGTATTTATTCTAGTTTTGCTTGATCTATTTTTCTTGCTGATATTAAAGAGATATTACCTAGCTTTAACGTTTGATTCTTAAGTATATTACATGATGTATTCATTTAACAAAATGTTTCCTAACATAAATCCAGTGGCATTATATTTAACATATAAACATATAAACGTATCCATGTCGGACACTGACACTTCTCAGACACTCCCAAACACGTGTCGGATACTTTAAAAACCGTGTCCTATTATTTATTTCGTTTGATTAATTTCGGACACTTCAAGGACACCTCTGAGAATACTTTTGACGATACTCTAAAGACACGTTTGAAAATTAATATGTAGAATATAGTCAGAGATTAATTTAATTTCTTTTAAAAATGTTGGAATTCTTTAAATTATCAATTTATCTCTAAATAATCTAGAAATATTATGATTTCTAATGGTGATGTTAATTGTGAGAATTAACTAATTATATTGTTATTAATAATTAAGTACTGTTTATTTTATATTTTATGATTTATCATAAATGATTGTTTATTTATTTGAATTATTAATAAATTATACTAATTCAGTGTAACATGTCCTAAGCGTGTCGGTATCCTACTTTTTTAAAAATTACAGTATCCCATATCCATGCAACCTAGATCATTTTTCTTTATAGTAACAATTTACAGCAAAAGCAATACAAACAATTTGAATATTTTCTATCACAAAGGTAGTTTGAGAAATTGCATTTATATATGTTCTTACTTTTCTTTTTTTAAAATAAATTGGTGATCTAATTAATCACTTTTCTTTTAAATAACTTTATATTGTTAATTTACTTTAAAGAGCATAATATTTCCAACGCCCCACCCCCCCCCCCCCCCCTTATATTGTTTAATTTACTTTTAAAGAGCATAATATTTCCAACGCTCCCATTCCCCCCCCCAAACTCCAAAAAAAACCCCCCCCCCCAACTCCAAAAAAAAAATCCCAAATGTCAGTTCTGCCCTGCATATACCTGCTCCTCCTTTTTGACTTTTGCCTCTCGTTCTGCTTCTTCTTCTACAGCTTTTAGTTCAGACAAGTATTCATTGAATAAAAACTCCCTGTCTTCATGCTTTACAGATTTGTACCTTGGATCGTTCCTTAGGCTTTCCTTCACCTGCAAGGAAGTAACATTAAGCCACTGTTATATGAACAAACCAGAACATCTCAATATGTTTTCTTAGATCAAAACAGTATTTAGTCTTTTCAATTCTATTACTGCATCTAGCTTAATGTGATGCTTGTCATATGACGATATAAAGACCAAACAACTATTATTTTCCTTACCTAATCATTGGAGCAACACCACAATGGAAAACAAATAGAAAAATTGAACTCAGTTTGCATTGTAAATAGACTGACACATGCACCTAGGCAAAATTAGGTGCATTACTATTGCAATCGATTTGTTCTGTTCCTTTGGAAAATATATTTTCCAAAAGCAGTGAATAGAAAGCATAAACCAATTTTCAGCTTTTAGAAACAAAAAATCAAAATGCTACCAAGCATGCCCTAATTATTATTTGTGTTGCTATATTTGCATGTCATGTTAGTTAAGTCCTTGTTTGAAAGTTGATTATTTACTCCGAGTAACTTGTATAATTTTTTCAAGAAAATCACATTGGTAGCTGCCAAGTTAATCTAGTTTGGGAAAATGAAAAGGTGCCTCTGTTATTTAAAACCATATCCAAGATGCATTTTATTGAATTAAACATGATTTATAATAGAATATACCTTGGACCAACGGGAATTGATGGTTATATCGCCTTTGTCTTGAAGCATTGACTTAAAACTAGCAGCAGCTGCTGCACGTTCAGCTTGAACCTTTTCTTGAGCTGCCTTCTTCAAAGGAATAACTCTACAATGGAAGCAATATTCTCTTTTAACCAATTGAATATAATGTCAGACTGAAAAGCAAAAGCAAATGCATGCATATATGTGTGTGTGTGTGTGTATATATATATATATATATACACCAAAATTTAATATGAGAATCTGGATCACTAGCCTACTACTCAGCTGACAAATGTAGCCTTCAAGGCATTTGAATACAAAGCTCTTTTCTGTCTAGGAAAAGGTTTATGCAAATCCGGATAAGGATCCAAGCAAAAGAAAATATGCAGGAAAAGTTCTGCTGAGTCATATACACCATATATTGCAGATGCTCACACAGAAAATGAATCTGAATAACATGAAGCAAACAGCACTTCTATAGAAAGCAGCAAGAGATAGAATTTGAAATTGTTCCAATTGATTTTAGCAAGTTATATAAATCATGTAGCTCGAATAGGCCATAAGACGATAACAAAAAAAAAAAAAAAAAAAAAAAAAAAAAAAAAAAAAAAAAAAAAAAAAAAAAAACCCCAAAAACCAAACTACCTTCCAGGCATTCACTAAAAAAAAAAAAAAAAAAAAAAAAAAAAAAAAAAAAAAAAAAAAAAAACCCAAAAACACTTACCTTCCAGGCATCACTAATTGCACTAAGTGCTTAAGCAGCTAGAAAATTGTTCCAACCCTTGCTTCTTTTTTTCTGTCAATCTTATCCATCCAAACTAATAATAAAATTTATAATGACAATTGTGATCTATGCTAACTGATTACATGCATTATATATTGTGGAATATATTTAACATTTTGGAAGAATATTATTATGAATTACGATGTTTAATTTTGATTCAAGACATGATATTTATGTGTATAGAGATCTATATGACATATAGTAGCTTTCCAGCTGATTTTCAGTGTTATGGCCAAACAACACAAAGAACATCCCCTAATTGGCTGAAATAATAAAAGCAGAAGAATTTGAAAGTTCCAAACGAATTGAAAGCCAACTTGCTTAACAATGATCACAACAGAAAATGTTGATAAAAATCTAAAGCCAGATTCTACTCGGTAAGTAATACCTTTCATTTAATAAATGTTCTCGATCTTTACGGTCCAAAGCCTCAAATCGTGGATCATTTTCCCATTTCTTTCTGAATGTTTGATAATCAGTATATTGATCAATGTCCTGAAATCAAAATCTAGCTGATAAGCAATCTGCAATCCTTAGTGTCAAAACCAAAAAAGATAATAAGAAATATTAGTCTGGAAAGGAATCACGCTCGAGTTAAGATAAATCCAAGAAACCTCTGATGCTTCAACCAGCAACTGCTTGAATCCCTCAATTGCAGCCTTCTGAGAGGCTCGTTTTTCCTTGCGTTGCTCCTCTGCACGTGTTTTAACATAGTGCTCAAACAATGACCTCCTAGCTGAATGACTCGGAATAGCCTGCAACAGAATGGTTTTATAATAAGAAAATCATAATGAAACCTTAATGGAATATAGTCAGAGAAGAAAATCATCATCCCAAGCAAGTTCACAATGTTCCAAAACAAAGAATCCAAACTCCATGTATAGCAAGCCTCAGCCGCTTCTCTAGGTTGGATCTGCTGTAGACATGCATAAATATAGATACATTTCCAAGCAGCCCGTCAAAATGGAAGAAAAACATATTTCAGATAATAATAATAATAAGAATACAACATCCGGGTTGAGCAAACTATTGCAGGAATCACAAACCTGAAAATGAAAGCACACATGATGAAGTTCCTAAGCGATGTTCAGGGAAGATGAGGGGCAAAGCAGTGTGCGTGAAACATCTAAAGAGAATGTATGAGTACAGGAGTAAGAGTGAGAAACTCTAATGGGCTCCTCTACATGTGTTAAGTAATGAATGGAAAAAAAGTAAATTAAGTATCTAGAGAACAATATTAATGTAATCATCATAAAAGTTTATGAGCGGCTGAAGAAATGGTAGAGCAGAAAGCTCAACAGACACAGCACCAATTACAAAGACAGGTTCTGTAAACTGAACCTCTTAGGATAGACCATTCTCATTGATTTCTTTTGCTGTATATATAAATCTAGTTATAAGATAGCAAGTGCAAAAGTAGATACAGTCAACACATAACAATGCTTGACTTTATCCCAGGACTAAACTATGCTTAGTTTACTTACACATTCAAACTAAATCATAACTGCTACCTAACCTCACTAACAAACTTGTTAACCAATAAATTAAGTTGGAGACAAGGTCTCTTAATAGCTTAAACAAAGAATTCATATAGGCAACTCCAACTAGCTTGAGATTACAGCTTAGTTGTTGTCGTTGTATTCTTTTTTGTTATCTTCAACAATCAGCCTGCAATGGCAAATTTGTGATTCACCCATCAAATCAACACACTAAAAATCTTTAAAAGTTATTCTCATTGCTTCAAGTTCCAACCAATTTTTTTTTTTTTTTTTTTTTTTTTGTGCAACTTTCCAAGTGTAGGATGGTACCAAGTGGATGAAAGGGAAAGCCAAAGAGGTACTTATGTTCCTATTTTTATTTTGAGCCAAAGCCAAAGAATTGGCACAATAATTGCGCGGGTCTGACCGCCTCCGACGGCGGGCGCGACCGCCTTGGAGGGCAAGTCTGAAAGCCTCCGGGCGCGCTTTTTCTCTATAAAAGCCGCTTTTTGGCCCCCTTTTTTTTTCACTCTCTCTTTCAGAATTTCGAGCCCAAAAGCAAATTTTCAGTCAGTTTCTTCTCTTTTCTTTCTTTCTTTATATATATATATATTTTTTAAATAAATAAATAAATAAATAAAATAATAAAAAAACATGAATCCCTTCTACAACCATAGCATGCACAGCTGGACCAAGAGTCTCTCCAAAGTTGAAAAGATCAATTTGGGGAGGTACGGTCTTTTCCTTGTTGAAATTGAGTAAGTTTAGATAGTGATTTATGTTGTATAACAAATTTTAGATCAGTAAATGAGGAAATTTGAGTTTATAGCAAAAGAAGTTGCCTAAGGGTATACTTTTTGGATCCAAAGAGATTGGAAAAACAAAAAAAGAAAATTCCGTAATCAAACAGGTTGCTATATTTTTTTTTTTTATTATTTAAAATTCAGAGAAAATATATTTTTTCATTAATTGAGAGATGAATGGGTTTAGAAAAATTTAAAGCAAATTTTAGATCAAGTTAATGAGGGAATTTGTGTTTATAGCAAAAGAAGTTGCCTAAGGTTTTGCTGTTTGGATCCCGAGATTTGAAAAACCAAAAAATGCATAATCAAAACAAGGTTGCCAGATGTTTTCTTTCTTTTCTTTAATTTTTATTTAAAATTTCAGAGAAAATAAATTTTTTCATTTATATTTGAAAATTAAAATAATTAAGAGATGAGTGTGTTTAGGAAATTAATACTTCCAAAAGTTAGCCACGTCAACAAAATTGATCATGTCAGTGTGATTGATAGTTAATTGCCTAACACGCAAAACAGGGTTATAAGTTCCACAAAAGAAAAAACCCAAACCCATTTTACTTAAATCATGAAATCTTAGGATTTTTTTTTTTTTTTTAACTTTCACTTTGTTTAGTTCGATTTCTAATATCGTTCAAATTCTAGGGTACCCATGTGTTCCTATATACAAAGGATTAGTTTCTTTTAATTATGATTGGCAGTTTCACTTAGTTGTGCTAGGTACTTATTGTGTCTTGCAGTTTCATTGCTTGTTCAAACAAGAAGCGAAGGAAAAGAAAATAGTAGGAGTGTTAGAATGAATCATGACAAACGAACACAATTCGCGTAACACGTGAAATAAATGGGTTAAGGTAAAGGTTAAATGGGTTTGTATCATAAACGGGTCACCTATTTATGACACGAATATAAACATATCGTATGACAGGTTGACACGATGATTAGGCAAGGGACCCATTTATTTAAGGGTAAAGAGTTAATCTTAGTGTTAAATATAAATACTCCAACTAAAACTCTATTTAAACTTTATTGTTGTATTAATGTTTTTCATTTTAGTTATGAATCTTGAATAATCTGTATTTTATGTATGAAAATTTTTTTTTAAATATGATTTGAATTAAATAGGTTAAAACTTAAAAATATCATCAGCAGGTTAAGTGGGCCGTATACAGATCATCAAGACCTATTTAACCTATTTATGATATTAAATGGGTTACACAGGTCATAACGGGTCAACACGACCCCATTTAACCTGCTTATGATATTAGGCGGGTTACACGAGCCGTGTTCGTGTCACCTGCCTAATTTTTATGTCGTGTTCGTATTGATAAATTTCACTCGATTATTAAATGAGTCGTGTTCGTGTTGACTCTAGTCGTGCCATGTGTTAGGCAAATTCGTATCAAACCCGACACTCCACCCGTTTTGACACCCCTAGAAAGTAGGCAGGATGTTTTTTTTTTCCAAACCAAAACTCAGATCTAATATAATCAGCTCTTATTTCTTTCTCATTAAACATAGGGAAAAGGGTATGAAATCAACTAAATGCCAAATTCTAACTAACCTATCTTTGAATCCTCACTTGAAAACCTACAACTCAGTCCCATACAAGGAATGGGTAACAACCAAGCATCAGAATACAGAGTAATAGGTGACTTACATGTATCACAACAGTAGATTGAGCCCTCCATAGCATGTAAAAGGAAAAGAAGGCACAGGATAAGAAAAAGGGTGAGGAGATGTCCCCCTGATTGAGGAACTGAGTAGAGAGATGGCTGCCACTGGAACAAAAGGTAATGGCTCCAGGGCAGTTATGTTGCTTGGTGTTGGAGAGACAGATGGATGCAATGCATTGGAAAAACTTTGTGCCACAATATGCCAAATTGAGCTTTGCTTCTTATTATAGGTTGGTGGATCCCGTTAGTTAGTGTGAACATCTTTTTTGGCATCAGAGAACTTCAGAGGACAAGATGGAGTCAGGTTCCTACCACATGGAGGGTGAGACTCAATTTTGGTTATGAAAACTGGAAGGATAACCTCAATTTGAAATATGAGGAATTTATACCCCTCTGAAATTTTTTAAAAATTTTAGGCTGAAATATGCAACTAACAGCGGAAAATCTCAAGTAAAAAAAAAAAATCTTAATTTGCAAAAAGGACCAAGTTTTGGGACACTAAATGTACACACTTTTCAATATTAGTTTCAACTGAACCCTTAACAAATTAATTTATAAACACTATCACCAACACCATAATAAATTAGAATCGCACATTCTGCCCTCAACAAAGACCATCCAAGTCTATCCAAAATAAACAATATGACACCACAAAATTCAAATCCATCACCTTCATCAACCAAATCCAAACAAAGCTCTCCAAATCCACCAATATCAATAGCATGTTTAAATCAGATCTACTGCCTCTTTTCTTATTTATTTTTGAGGATTAATTCTGTATATGGGTTCATTTTTTATTTGCATGTTTCTCTTGGCTTTTCTGTGTGGAACTCATGTTTTCAGATTTGGGCATTACTTTAGCATACAGTAATCATTCATCGTTCAGTTTTACTTAGTTTAGTTGCCCCACTGTTTGAATGCAGCACACACATGTTAGCCCCCTCCAAATCTGGAAACAAATTCCAATCAAGGAGTTTTCTGAAATTAAAAGTACTTTACCATGTTTGCTCCAAAAAGAAAAGGAAAAAAAAAATTTAAAAAAACCTGCATTTGAAAGCATTAAAAAGATTGCAATTTAGCATATTACAGTCACAATATTAAACACACAAGGTAAACGTGACACAAAAATTAGCTGGTTTGCATTTTCCTTAATATTGCTCATGCTGAAGCATGTCAACACAATTTTAAAGTGAGAAAATCAATGCACAGGTAAAACATATAACTCCATAAGATCACCATCCTAAGCAAAGGATATGCAACTCTTTTGGGAGGTTACTATCACATACTGACATATAATGAAAGAAATTGTTGAATATCACGAGAATCAGATTAGCGTTGAAGTTGCCATGGTCAGCAGGAGGCCTCCATACACAGAATTAGTCAATTATACAATAGCAAAGTCCTACGAGATGCAGAGCCCCATACTTCAATAATGAGGTTCTTGGTCATGAAGTTTAGCCAGGTAAGAGCTCATTAACAAGAAAATATGTTCTCAAAGTCTAGCCAACAAACCAAAAGCCTCATGTCAAGAGCATTTATCCCCTCCCCCAAAAAAAAAAAAAAAAAAACAAAGTTCCCTACGAGATGCAGAGCCCATACTGTCAATAATTGAGTTCTTTGGTCATTGAAGTTTAGCCCAGGTTAAGAGCCTCAATTAAAAGAAAATATGTTCTCAAAGTCTAGCCAAACAACCAAAAAAGCCTCATGTCAAGAGCATTTATCCCCTCCCCCAAAAAAAAAAAAAAAAACAATCCCGGCGGAGTACACCCATAACAAACTGCAGCAAGAACAGGAACGATTTGCCTCCTCCCACTTTGGAAATGGGCCTTATTAAGCCTTACAAAAAAAAAAAAAAAAAAATCCCAGGCGGAGTACACCCATAAAATGCAGCAAGAACAGGAACGATTTGCCTCTCCCACTTTGGAAATGTGGCCTTATTAAGCCTAGATAACAACTTTCTTAAACCAGACACATCCTAGAAGCATGATAAAAAGAAAGAAGTTGCGGCTAAAAGTCACCATTTCAACAAGGTTTTCCTAAGGAAGCAAGTTGTTATCACCAAAAGAAGTACATGAAAAGCACAAACAAGTTCACCTCATAACAAGTGAGCATGTATATGAAACCAACAAACCTGTCTCAAGGAGTTCTAATTATAGGAAAGGTGTCTAATTCCTGAACAAAGTGAGACTTAAGTTTTAGACTCAACAAACCTTAAAACGAGGGTCAAAGACTATCTTCGGCAGCTCCTTCTCCCATTTTGAGAATGGCGCTATTCCACGTTCCTTCAACATTTCCTGCATATTTCAGAGACACAATAAACACAGAAAACTAATATTCTCATGAGGCAAACTGTACCAGGGAAGAAAATTTAACAGCAATATGCAACAAATTCCAAATTCTTTTGCAGCTGTCCATACGCCTAACATACCGTCACTTCTTTCTTTTACCTCTTCTAACTAGCAAATGCCTTGCTATATTGGACCCAAACCAAACACTCACCCCTGCCACATCTCATGAGGGCACAACACCGAAAGGGAAGCACAGGAGACACCAGTTTAATTTGTTTTACAACAAGAATTTCAAGCAAAAGAAAAGCAACGAAGATACCTTAAATTGGATAATGCACTCTTCCTTTGTAGGCCCACTGTCTTCATCCTCTGAATCTGAAGAGGAGTCAGATGCATTACCACCCCCATTTGTATCTTTTAGCTTATCATTGCTAGTCTCGCTTAGCAAACCCTTAGCTGTAGCCTCAGCAGCTCTAGAACCATTTGATTCTGGTGTTCCCATTCCTAATGAAACTAGAGCAGGTGAAGAATTAACTGGGGTTCCAGATTCTTGCAACTTCTTCTTTATCAAATCTAATGCAGATGATGGACCTGGTGCACTTGAGGTTCTAAGAGCTGTTGCATCACGACCACCTGTATTAATTGCAGGAGCACTCAAACTAACTGGACCAGATCCTTTTTCAGTTGAGACATTAGAGCGCAACAATGACACTTCAAGCTCCTTTGATACTTCAGCTTCCTGCTTCTTTGTAAGCTCTGTCACTTCACTGGGGATCTGCCAGCTACTTAACTGATGGAGAAAACATAAACAAAGTAAGAGGTCATATGACTATAAAGAAGATGAGGTGAAAGTGGCAATTATAGTCAAATATTTCTTTCCTTACATTTGACTCTATTCAAGCACCAAATGATTTGAATGAAGCATGCAATAGAAATTTGAACAGAATCGTAGATGAATCATATGAATTTATGGCCTTGCAATTCAAATGTATACTTCAATTCAGTTTTACATTTCTAAAGACAAAATATACAATTCCAGATAAACAAATTTTTTTCTTGATGGTTTTAGAACCAGAACGCTCAGTGAAACAAAAAGTTGACTGTTCATTAGCCCAACCATCCAAATAGGGTGATTATGTCGAAGAAAATTAAATATAGCGAGAAAATTCTTTGAAAATTCGTAAAAGAAACATTCTCAAGGTAAAAAGTTCGGAAAAAGTAAATTGCAAACCAAATTGGATGGAGCGAACCAGCAATTTATCTAGTTACCAGTCTCAAGCCAGATCAGTAGCCCTTTTAGGATTGTGGTTGGAAGGGAGATATTGTTTGGCAGGAAAATCAGAAATATGGTCATTTAGTAAATTTACTGAACCGAGATTGGGCCTCTCAAAACTCTTAATTTGGCTATTGAGTACTCTGTATGCAATAATGAAATGCTTTAATGAACATATTAATCTAGTATATCTCCTTTTTATTCATTTTAATCAGAACATCACTTCAAACAACAATTTTAATCCAACGCCTAAACACTCCTTTTTCACTGCACTACAGTTTTCCATTTTTTTAACCGACAAAAAGGTAGTTTTTGCATTCAATGCTTTTTGGAAAAATAGCAGCAAAATGAAACAGCAAGGCCAAATAGGCTTCTTAGTCCAGTCCTCAAAACATTAAGCCTAGTTTAGCTTGATGGAAAATGGAGGAAGGAAAAATAAAGAATTTTCATCCCTCATGTTTGAAAAGGATGAAAAAGTAGGAGGGAAAAAATTTGAATGGAAAATAAATTAGGGCATATCTAAATTGAGAGGAAAGAAAGAGGAAAATATTTAAATCACAGTTTAATCCCTATCTAAGGTTTTTCATAGGATAGAAAATTAATTTTCTGTAACAAAATAACTCTCGCTCAGTATTTTCCTTTCTCATATCCAAACATGGAGAAGGAAAATAATTTTATCTTACTTTTTTAATTTCCCTCTTATTTTCCTCCATTTTTCTCTTTCCTTCCTCGTTCCCTTTCCCAAACATATTATAACTCCCAATGAAATATTTTATGCAACACGTTTAATAGGCATCTAACAGAGCCAGGATTTTTTTTTTTTTAAGGGGGACCAAAATAAATAGGATTTTTTCTTTTTTCAGGGGGACCATACCTTAGTTTTGTTATTGTAGTAATATTTTTTACCATCATTCGTCGTGATCAAGGCCCAGTCTGTACCAGCCAAATTCTCCCTGAACACAAAAATGCAATAAAGAAATTAAGAGTAGAGAGTTCTTTGATGTCACTTGAACTTATAAAATCTCTAGCAGGCAAAAGTCGACAACTAATTAACCAAAAACAAAAGGGTATAAGATAATTCCAAATACAATAAAACATCAACTATGATGCATGACAATAGAAAAGTCAAAAATATATAAGTGGGACAAAACTGCATGCTTTAAATAATCAATTAGGCTGTCTATTAAAAGAAAACTCCTGAAAAATGTTTTAACCAGTATCATTAACAGCACTAGGCACGATCAAGCACCATAGGACCTTGGAGCCAAGGCACAAGTTGGAAGGTGCAGGCATGTACCTAGACAAGGTTAGGTACGAGTCATTGAAATAAAATGTATGCTAAATTGTAAGAGATAGCTCGACAACATCTAATGAGAAAAAGGCAAGAAATCATGCTGTTGATTTATTTTGCCTGTCAGGGATTGCAAACGAGATATAAATACAAAGCTTACATTGACTTCTTCAATTTCCAAATTCTTGTATCCGATAATAAATAGTATGTAAAGCAACTACGCAAATAAACTATAAAAAAGGGATAATTATAATTTTAGTGTTTGAACTTTTCATTCTTTTTCTATTTTGGTGTCTCAATGGAAAACACCATCAATTGAGTGCACACACTTTTTAAAATTTGCATTTCAGTGTCTATCTAATGTGGCTCACCGGAAACATGACTATCTATTGCGAGACATATTTTTTCACATGCAGTAGATGACACGGCATAAAGAAACTTCAAATCAACTTGGACTCATAGTAATGAAAGGTGCAAGGTGCACTAAGGCGGAAAGGGCTGCTAGAGCCTAGGCGCTAGCCTCTAGGCAAAGGCACGCGCCTGAGTAAAGTGAGGCGCGAAAAAAAAAAAAAAAGAATAAAATATATAAATCATTTTAAGATATCAATCAAAAAAAAAAAAAGAAAAAAGTAGAAAACATGGAAAGAAACACACATAAATCAGAAATGGCAACATGACAAGTTATATTTTAAGATATTAAAGTTAAGACAAAAAAAGAGTATAATCAAAAAAATGAAAAAAAGAAAAGAAATAGAAAGCAAATATATGAAGAAAAATTATCTGGATGGAATGGGGCTAAAGACTAGATTGCAAGACGTGAGTGCTAGATGAAGGAGCGGAGGTTGGATCACAAAGCACATCACCAGTTTTTGTGTTGCATTTTATTTCTTTTATATTTATTTTGTGTAAGCCAATGTTGGCTAGATACCTTTATATTGAAAAATACCCTAGGTGACTTGTTCTGCAAAACTGTTGCATTTTATTTCTTTTATATTTATTTTGTGTAAGCCAATGTTGGCTAGATACCTTTATATTGAAAAATACCCTAGGTGACTTGTTCTGCAAAACAAAAAATAAAAAGGCCCACCTTTCTCGAGCCTTAGGCGCAAAAAAGGCGCACGCCTCTACCCAAAGGCGATAGCCTGGGTGAGGTCGCCCGCCTCAGGACAATTGAGGCACAAGCCCTTGAGCCTCATGTAAGGCACGCCTTTAATAACTATGCTTGGACTTGCAATTAAATTCCCTAATTTGCCCCTTAAATATGCTTTTTCCTTTGCAAACCCACTTCCTGATTCCAGAACTCAAAGCAAATAATTCAAAAGTAAAAACCATTTGCAATTAACACATGCTTGTCACTATCCACCATCAAAACCCTAGAAATCGCCACTATGGTCTTCGCCTTCACCTCCAAAGAGCTCGAATCGAGCAAGCGAACGAGCAGTGAGTCCATGGCTGAATTTTTCAACTCATTGTTACCAGTCTACAACCGAGAGATCAAGTTTCTTGACTCGACCAACACTGCCTCCCTCTTTGAAGAAAAACCAATTATTGAAACCTCTTTTTAAAGCCTACCCACAATCTTATAAGCTCTATATCCCTCCTTTTCTTTCTATCCAAACAAAACTCAGATAGAATTTTGGTTTAGTTGAATTGTGTACTTCTTTCTTTTTTCTTTTTTTCATTTTTTTCGATTTATCTAAAAGAAATGAATTTTAGAAGCTTTAAGGAATTTTGGCCTTTTTATGCGACACAAAACTGAAATCTATGGACAAGGCAATGGCATTTTGTGGTTACAGTTACAAGTATTCTCTATTTGATATACTTTGTTTTTTTCAATTGGTGAGTTTTGTTTTTTGTGACTTCATTTGGGTATGGTTTTGCATGCTATACCCATTTTTTTGTGGAAAGGAGTGTTCTTGTAACTCTTGGGCATCCATTTTTTACCTCTTTTGTGTGATTTTGAGATGCCTAGTTTCATGCTTACTCGCCAAATGGATAGAGAGATCAAGAGGCTTGGAAATAGACCTGTGTTGCGTAGCTTCTAGTTAGTGTATAATTGATTTTAAAGGCATTTTTTTTTTTTTTGTTTTTTTATCTTTGGCCAAATAATGAAATATCAATTTCCGTGTTTGTTTCCATGTAGATATTTTCCTTTTTCAAATTAAAACAAATAATTGAAAGAAAAAGTTGATAAGGGAATGGATTTTTGTATCTTCATTGTTTTTCTAGGGTGAGAAACTGACGATTTTTGTGTACTCCATTAAATGGTTTAGAAGATTTGGGTGTTCTTAAAGGCAAAATAGGAAATTCATATATGTTCACATGAATCCATTAATACAGCTGATTTGGTTAAGTTAGAGCCCTTTTTGTCCATGTCAGATGCCATGTGTGAAAAAAACAAGTCCCACAATTGCACAATCACGTTTCGGGTTAGCCAGCTCAGCCAGAGACACTCAATTGTAAATTTTAGAAAGTTTGCACACTCAATTGATAGTGTTTTCTGTTCAAACACTAAAATAGAAAAAAAAAGAAAAGTTCAACCACTGAAGATTTAATTATCCCTATAAAAAATAAATTTTTTTTTTTTAAACTGTTGTGCTTACAAAATATGCACCCAATCCTATTGAAATAAAAGTCTCTACCTCACAATATTCTACCATCAGGTATCATAATCGTATCATAATCATCACATTACTTAGAATAATAGTCTTATTTGTAACAGAAGAGGATAAAGGATTGTGATATTTGATATTTCAGAAGAACTATAAAACTAATACTGCCTTTTAAATCAATTCATCATATTACTAAGACAAGAAATCAAGAAAAATCAAACTCAAAGATTCAAGAATTTAGAATTATGGTCTATATTTTATCTAGAATTTATTTCAGACAGTATAATACTTTAACAGTCCTTTAAGGGTCTTGTTTATATTTCTATTTAAATAAATTAGTTTGTGGGTCCATTAATCCAAGTGCAAGAACTATTTTTTAATTAGCTATAAAATCTGTCTAGATCTCATCTTTAGTATTATCTTCTTAGTTTTCTATGGCAGACCAGCTCCTTGGAGCTTCTTGGAATTCCTTTACATTCAAGTTCCTTTAATTAGTTTGCGTCTATATAAACTTGCTTGTAATACTTTGGAATTCTGTTTTCCAGTAAAAAAGTTTCAGCGATTTTATGCTCTAATTTATCAGTTGTTTGGAGTATTAATGTGTGTGAGTTTCATTATAGGGGCTAGTCCTAGATCCTATGAGCAAAAGACTGATAGCTGTAATCCGTTTGTTTAATTTATCCTTTACTTTCACAGAGAGAGAGAGAGAGAGAGAGAGAGAGAGAGAGAGAGAGAGAGAGAGGGATTAGCTGTAATCCCGTTGTTTAATTTTATCCTTTACTTTTCACAGGAGGAGAGAGAGAAGAGAGAGAGGAGGAGAGAGGAGAGAGAGAGTAGAGAGAGGAGTCCATTTGTTCACACTGAGTTTTAAGCCCCTCACACTAAATCTCTATAAGCCTAACCCCAACCTCCTAAAACTTCAGCTTTTCACAAGCTGGTCCTATGTCAGAACAACATTTCCAGAGTTTATTTTTTAAAAAAATTACAATAAAATAAAAAAGATGACTCAATCAACTTGCCTCTTTAATCCCAAGTTAGTTGGGGTGTAGCTCGTTTTCAATATTCTGGCCAATTCGGAAACCTACTTTCATAAATGTCTAGGGCCTATATAATCCTCATTCACTGTTTTCCCCCAACGTCACTTCCTCCCTTTCCTAACTCCTTGCAACACACATTCAACCTTCCACCTCCAAATCGTTTCTTCCTGCATCACATCTCAGTCTCCCTTCTCTCAATTTTTCCTGAATAGATGCACTTAAATTCTTGCTTATTGTAATTGCATTTCTTTAAGTGATTCATTCTTATATTATGTCCACAATCAATGCAACAATCCTTGATTCCTTACCGTGAGGGTCTTATGAGGTTTTGTTTTTCATCACAACCCAAAGTCGATACAGGTTAAGACGGCAATTATATAAAAAATCCCCTCTTCAATTCAGCTGGTATTTTGAAGGATCCACATAAAAACCCTTCTTACGCCATTTTTTTGTATTTCCATGCATCTTTACACCTTACATTAAATTCCCTCTTCAAGCTTCAGCAGGTATTTGGGTGATATAACATGAAAAAACCCGTTTTCACAGGTTTGCCATGTTCAAGCATCTTGCCTATAATCCTATGGATAACATTAAAAGACAAAACTTCTCGCACTTCCCGTCCTACTGTCTTTGTCATACTTGAATAAAACTACATAACGGAATGATGTGATGTTTTTGGGTAACCCTCTTGTGCCTTCTCTAACGCTAAATCCACCTCTATCTCTTTCCCTTTTCATTGCTGAAAGTTGCAACCCCAAATTTCTTCCATAATTCTCGCGGAACAGTATATAGAGATATACCCTATCAGCGATGGCTCTCACAGTGAACTATGTCACATGAACCCATGAATAAGCATGCTCTGATCCCAATATCAGGATGTCAGTTCCCAAGGTTTTTTTTCAAAGATATGTAATTTAACTTACTGCTTTATGATAAACTACTACTTTTCTTACCAAATACAAAAAAAAAATTTCACTAAATTTTCACTAAAAAAGTTCAGTTCTTGGTGCCTT